ATACTAAGTTTTAAGAGAATTGAATATGAAAAATTCCATCTCAATATCATGCAAGTTACTACTTTCATATGTTCTAGAGACAGAAACAATATGCAAAACTAGAAGCTAACTTCCTATTTCTAGAATATGAAAACCCATCATTTCTAGTATTCCTATATTTATTTACTTAAAATAATTTCCCAGTGGTTCATATAGTTGCTTTAATTGTGAGAAACATCAATTAGAAGTAAGTACATCTTACTAGTTCTCACCAAAAAAATTCTTAAGGCTAGGCATTGGAGGCAGATATTGGGAGGACTGATGTCTGAGTCTAGTCCAGGAAAAAGTGAGAAACCCATCTCAACAGTTAGCTTGGCATTGTGGGTCTTCAATACTCAAGAGGCTGTAAGAAGGAAGCTCACAGTCTAGGACTGGCCCCAGAGTAAAACAAGGCACTATTTGAAAAATAAAGCAAAACAAGGCTAGGTGTGTGGCTCAAGTACAAAGCTCTGAACTAAATGCCAGTGCCATAAACAAACACCTTTCGCTACTTTCCTAGTGCTTCTTTTTCAACTATTTGAAAACCTCTAGGTGAGTCAATGTTATTCATTCATAAAGCATTATATAACAATCCTTTTGGACAAAACTGTTATAGTCTAAAATGTTTCTGCATTGAAAAAAGAAAACTGTCAGGATGGTTTTTACCTTTTTCCAGCAGGAGAATCTTGTCCAATTCCATAAGCAAGAAGAGCTGCAGATGGCTCATGGATTAGTCGTAAAACATTAAATCCAGCAGCTCCTGCTGCTTCTCTGTGAACAATTTGCTTTCAGTGAATTCAATGTTACAATATGTCAATTCTACACTTTAAGAAATGCTCTTAAAAAAATCTATGTGATAGCAAATACAATTGCACAAGGAGACACAGAGTGCAATGATATTAAGAAAGTAGAGCACATGAAATGGAAGGGACTTCAAGAGTCACTTTCTTAACAGAGAAAATAATGTGCCTATACTAAACATAAAACTACAGCTCTCAAAAATGTCTATGCTTTAAAAAGTTCGCCTTTTCTGTGGCATCTTTTGGAGTTTTCAGACACTGGGAGAAATCCTGCTACCATGCCATTCAGAACCTCCCATTCTTACCATGGTTTCAACATCACCCTGCTAATTCTGTGAGGTCAAAACTAGGCCTCCCCTGTCTCTGTGTACTTAACCCTGAATATAGTATAGCCTAAACAGCAAAAGTAATCAATAAATACAGGTTGAATGAACAACAAAAAACAAAGGTTCATACTTATTTTGGTTTAGATATTAAGCGCTAAGACAAGGAAAGAATCACTACTGCTTCCTACATTTGCATATTTTTATGTAAACCTAAATTGTATAAACTAGTTCATAAACATCTTTTTAACCTGGAAATTAAGAACATTTCCAATCAAAACAGCCAAAAGATATATATCATATCTAATTTTATATACCATTATAAAGGAAATATGAATTACTTTTACCATAGGAAAGTATTTACAATTACTTTTTAATATATAATGATAACTATAAAATGTTTTTAACTGAGCAAATAAGATAAATTCCATTTTATACTTACCCAAGAGCATTTTTCTGCTTTTCTCCAAAATCAAATGGAACAGTAATAACTACATCATTTGCATCTGAGCCCAAGACAGAATGTGCCGTCTCTGTACATTAAAAAGCAAAAATAAATTCTAATGACAGAATAAAGCTAAATAATGCTTGCTTGAGGTTCCTAAATTCATGTCAAAGAGTTCACTAAATACATTCCAATTTACTTGGATGCCACACCCTGTCAACTGTCTTTTCTTTTGCTCTTAAATCGGGCAGTACTTCTCCTAGTTTTGGTAAAGTAATGGCTTTGGGACATACTAAATCAATTAACCAAAGCACTTTCCAGAGCCTGGCTCTTTGGTCTCAGAATTTCAGCTATCTTCCAAATTACACTGGTTTCAAAGAGAGCTACAAATGCATGAGAGATGAGCTATAAATGCACCAATGTAAAGCTACAACATCATCTTAACTGAACATAATATAAGGGTCATTCCATCCCACTAGGTCATAACATAATTCCAGAGCAGATATGAGCCTCACAATCTACTCCAGAATTGCTCAAATTATTCCACTGCTGAAACACACTGAGCCTTAACCTGGAGTGGTGAAAAAAACCAGATCTACTCAAATCTGCCAAAAGGTGGAAAATATACTGTCAATCTCTGATCATTATTATTTTTATTAGTCAGGGCGGTGCTCCACCACTTGAGCCACAGTTCCACTACCAGCTTTTTGCTGGCTAGCTGCAGATAAGACTCTCATGGACTTTCCTGCTGCAGATGGCTTGGAAGTGAAATCCTGTTTCTCAACCTTCTGAGTAGCTAGGATTATTGGTATGAGCCTGGCTACTCTGTCAATCTTGAAGAAAAATAAAACATTCACTACTCACTGTTTTTTTTGGCTCACTGTTACTAGTAAGTTTTGAAAGTGCTAACATGGCCCAATCCACTTATATTATATTTGAATATGCCTCATCTGAAAACTTGAAATCTGAAATGCTCCAAATCAATTGATAAAGGCTTTGGATTTTGAAGAGTGTTTTAGATTTTTGGATTAGGGCTACTCTCAACTGGTATGATCTATGCAACTATTCCCAAGTCTGAAAACCACAAAATCTGAAATACTTCTGGTCCCAAGCACATCAGGTAAGGGATACTTGGTCTGTCCTTACAAAGAAAAATCAAAAGTTGTGGAAGGTAAGTCATTTATTTAACTAAGGTCACATAGACATTTGGTAGTGAAACCAGGCCTACAGTTTAGGTCTTCTTACTTCTGATCTATTCATTTCACTTCTCCCTAAATCCCAAATTACTTCTAGCTTTTTTGCGTTTGTGTGGCCGTTGGGAGGGTCTGTTTCAGTCCTGGAGCTTGAACTCAGGGCCTAGACACTGTCCTTGAGCATTTTTTGCTCAAAGCTAGCATTCTATCACTTGACATAGCTCCATTATGATGCCTAATTGGAGATAAGTCTCACAGACTTTCCTGTCCGTGCTGGCTTTGAACTGCAATCCCCATATCTCAGCCTCTTGAGTAGCTAGGATTATAAGTGTGAACCACTGGTGCCCAGTTACCTCTAGCCTTTTAAGGTTAGCTTTTAAAATATCATTTATTTTAAAATGTCATTTAAAGTTAACTGAAATTTTTCAGTACCTTTCATTTTACTAAATATGAGTCTGGCAACATCTTCTGGGTTAACAAATTTAGTTTCTTCTCCTGTATCTATTTCATATCGCAATTTCCCATTTTTTTCAACAACCTACAAAAGAAATTATAATTCTCAATACAGAGTAATTTAAATAAAAATGTTAAGTTTCAAGTCAACATTATGGCATGACATTTGGCAATTACTTTGTGTAGCAGGGAAGCAATAATGGAAGCATACTCACTAAACATTTACTTTCCGAGATGTATTTCTGAGCTTGTGGATCGTTGGAGCTGTCCATAAAGAAAGATATAAAGATATCTCAGGATCAAAATTGGTATTATAGATAAAAAAAGGCCTAAAGACCATACCATAAGCATTAAAATATAAATAATATTAAACTGTTCAACAAGTTTCAAATCATATGAGTTATAAATAAGTGGAGTATTTATACTCAGTGATTATAGTAATTCAGCTAAAATGTTCATCTTCACATCTGAAAATAATTCTCCCTTGTTCTGACCTCACTATGCATTTCAGAGTGACATTTCCTGATATGGATTTTATTCATTTGTACATTTTCACATCTGTGATCCTGATGATCCAACCACTGAAAAGGGCAAAAAGGAGTGGAAACTTAAGAGCAAAAATCCAACACCATCTTTGTTGGATCCTAAACATGAACACCCAAAACCAAAAGAGTAATAAGTATGAATGGTGTATATCGAAGTGTAGACTCATACATGTAAACACAGCATGGACAGATCCATACAAAGCAAGCGCTAAATGTGCATTTATGTTGCTCAGGATAGTAATACCAATTTATGCAAAGTACAGATTTCCACTTAATACTTTTTTAATGTCTATAACATCTAAGTGGGTTGTTAGGTATGTTTTACAGAGGGGCAGTGAGCTTACTACAGGGTAACATGGACAGGGAGCCAAGATGTGACCACCAGCTACTCATGTTTACACTTCAGTAGACAGGCTCCATTAATACTATCAAATGACCCCTTCAGGAGGGACAGGATCTCTCACCCTTTGTTGAACTTCATGTAGAACTTAAGCATCAGACTAGTATCCTTCTTAATAGTCTTTGAAGGAGCTGTGGCTATTCTGTTCAGAAACCAGCCTTAAATGTTTATTAAGAGCTGATGATTAATAGTGGCTAACTAACTGCAGAAGGGTTACAGAACTTGGAGGCTCTTAACCTGGACTAATCTGGCTTAGAATTCTTAAATACTTGCAGGTTCCTTACTTCCCCTACCACTGACAAAATTAATGGGAGGACAGGTGCTTGCCCAAAGTGACAAAGTTCACTAATGGCTTAATTGTCCAGCAACCAGACCTTCAATATAAAGTTTAACATTTTTTTCCATAACTCGCCCACTCTTCCCTTTCACTAACCCACTACCTGGATTGTACACCAGACAAGTAGGGATGAAACAATTATGTCCATAGTGAGACTCTAGATCAGTACTAGAATTTCAACAAGACATTTGCAGGCTGTTTTCTTATAATTTAACCCCATTATGTGTAGGCTATTTACTGCTCAGGGTAATTTTCAAGGATGAATATTTTATGGAATGTCTATTAACTTTTAGAAATGAAGAGAATTTCTCAACTGTCATGTAAAGACAGACTCTTTCATCTAAGTACAGAAAGTACAGTAGTTCTGAGGGCCGCACATGACACAAGCAGAACACTGGAGACTGCAAAGCAGGTATGTAAGGAAGCAGAGAATGAAGTAACAAAAGATCACAGGGATCACAGAAAATAGCAGACTTGACCAACAACTACACACAAGTAAAAACTTTATTTGTCCACACTAGGAATAAATTGTTTAACAGAAAAACAAAGCTGGTGGGAGGCTGGTATACAGTAAGCACCTTGTTCACATCATGGTCATCAGGATGCAGTGTCAACTCTACCAGTAGGCACAAACTTTAAAAGGGAGGCCATTTCCTCTTCCTCCTTCACTATCTCTTAGCCATCAAGCTCCCTGGCTTGGCAATACCAGCACTGAAGTACCTTCCCAACTCCTGTTATATCATTGTGCCTATGAGTTTAACAGCACTTTACATTCATTCATCTGTCCACTGGATCCTCACAACATCCCTGTGAGGTAGGGAGGACAACAGTTTCCACTTTAGATGAGGAACCTGAGTTATGGAATGGTGAAAGCCTTGTCTGAGTATGTCTAGGCAGTATAATGGTTAGAGCTTAGGCAGGATTCCTAGCTTGCTTTCTGGGATTTGGGCTCTCTTTACAGCAACTTCCCTGCATTGATAGTCAGTGTTTTGTTTACTTCTTCAGGACCTTTTCCTATCATATCTACATTATGGTTACTACGCCCATCAGATTTTTACAATACTATCTGTAAACTTTACTCCACTGCTACTTTTGTACTTCTCTTACTCAAAAGAAATTCCTGCCTAAGTATTTTGCTACTGTTAGTTATACTTTCCTGTTTTCCCAGAATATCTACTTATGTACTCATCTGTACTAGTGTTACATTGGTGTAAGGGACACATATCCTTCCATAGAACGGCTAAAACGAGTAACACAACATAAATTTATGTATCTATCTCAATGCCTTAATACATGCTTTCTGAAAGTAAGCACTCTGTACTAGTGTGGTGCTTAGATGTTCCAGGGCTATCAACAAACATCAACACCCAGAATGTAATTGTTAAAATACAATTGTTACCAGTACTTCAAACATGCATTAGTATGCCACTGTAACTGAAAATGGGAGTATCACACTCATTTTTTTTGGTAGTACTGGGGTATAAACCCAGGTTTTGTACATGGCAGGCAGGCATATACTCTACAGCTTGAGCCACTCCTTGAGCCTGTATTTTGCCTTAAACTATTTTTTAGAACTCAAAGGTACTAGGAAAAAACCAACCTACAACAAATATATTGATTTAGAGATAAAGAGCTTGAGGCACGATAGGGGCAAGTGATTTTGCCCAATGAAACCACTGCGACAGGACTGGGGTCCAGGAGTTTTAACTATATACCAGTGTATCCTACCACACTGGCTCCTTCACATACCCACCACTTTACTTGCCACATACACATGGCGCCAGGTGGGTCCCATTTGCATTGTCAGCAGTTAGATAAGCACCGGTTTATATATAAAACAAAGCCTTTTCCAACACGCCCTCTTATTTCTTTCCCAGCTAGACTGCAGGAAAGCTTTTTAAATCCCAGATGTGTGTTCTCTGAAAGTATTATGTTAACTACTAAAAGGATTGAGTGAGGGAAAACTGGGGATGTTGCCTACCACCACCATCACCTCTCCCAAAGGTGATATGTGTTGGGTGAGGACTGAGTTTAAAAGGAGTCTATCTACACCACCTCCAGTGTTCTCAAAACTAAAGGGAAAATGAAACTGGTCTATTTCACCATCTGCCAATGACCAGATCAACTTTTACCTAGGTCATCAGGCAAAAAGTAACTTTGGCAAGTTCCCCAAAGGGAAAGCTTTCTAGGGCCTTTAAAACATAGTAGGCAAAAACAACAAACAAAACAAACAAAAACCCCTAACAACAACAAGCTAATAGAAAAAAATGAAATTAACTAAAAGCAGATCTCAAACTGCTACAATTCAAATTGTTTCTCTAAGGTTCAAAGGGCAATTAAAATTTAAAGATGTAACTTATGCATAGAAAGGGACCCAAATAATATGAAATATAAAGAATTTACTTACACTTACTGTTTTATAAAACAGCCAATATCCACCTATCACAGATGATCAATAAGAAGCATTAACACTACTGTGACTCTCATTAGTTCTGTTATACCCTTAATAGGAGACCAAGAAGTAGTAAAAGGAAGGTTTGACAGGTTGGATTATTATCAACTGTGTTGACTAGTAGAAAAGTCAGAGACACAGCAATGAAGAATGAAACAAAGGGAAAAATACATTGTGCCTACATTAGTCTAATGAACCATAGGAGGATTTTAAAATCTAAGACCTCAAACTCCATGAAGCAGTCAAATTAAACTACCAGATTTAAGCAACAGGTCAAGGTATACAACCACACTTTTATATCCTGTAAAGTAATATGCTCTCCCTAGCCTTGCTCCAGCCAAGGCCATACACATTAATAACATACATTTATATAGTGCTTTTAAACCCTTTCACATCTATTAGCCACCTGATCCTCACAACAGCCCTGTGAGGTAGGCAGGGCAGGAATTAGTAGCTATCCCTCATTTCAAGATGAGGAAGCTATTGTAGAGAGGTAAAGGAAATTGCCTCCAATCATAGAGAAAGCCAAGACAAACTAGCTCTCTTGGATTTGATTCCATGGTTTCTACTAGGCACCTCTCATTTCTAAATGGTCTTTCACTTAGTGGAGAATCTTGATAAAAAGAACTCACAAGTATACTCCTGTTCCTCTGCATATCAACGATTCACTACACTTTTGTGAGGACAAAAAAAGGTGCTGTGGTATCAGAAGGCAGGTGTGAGGAGACTTTTGTTTATGAAGTATATTCTTTCACAGTCAGTTCCTAGCTTTTGGCATTTGAAATCAACTTTTGAAGCAATTTTTCGAGTCCTAGCTGAAAAGCACCAGTAGCTTCTTCCACTGCTGTTGCCAAGCGTCTGACCGCGATGACAGCATCCCTGCGCAGCTCATTGGCAGCATCTTGTTGGGCACTGGCCTCTTCACCAATAGCAATCAACCTATCCAGTTTTTCTTCCTCTCGCTTTGAAAGTTCTCGTGCCAACCTCCTGTTTTCTGCCAACTCAGCTGCAATAGTCCTGGCCACTGACCTCCTTCTTCGCCTTGCCCACCTTGGAGGGGGCTCACTGGCCAAAGGTCTATCTCCACCAGAGACCAAACCAACTGTGGAAGAGGAACCTGGAGGCTGTGAAGTGGAGGCTGCCCCAGGAGGGTTTCGGCTGGTGCTGGGAATGGGCTCACCTGACACACCCAGTCTGGTCATGGGACTGCTCTGACAGGGAACAGCTGCACCTCTGAAAAGGTTGTGGGAGCTGCTGTAGTTGGGGGTCCCTTGAGAGCACCCTGAAAAACAAAGCAACAATGTTGCAAAGAGGACACTCTTGCTAAGGGAATGTTGGAGCCAGCAGCACAGCTGAGATACAGTAAACTAGGGTAATTCTGAGGAAGGCCTCTTTCCACAAGGGACTGGAATAATCATTCTTTAATCTGGCTATTTGGGCCCATAGCACAAACTCTTGCCTTGCTAAATTTATCCTTTCCATAGAGCGCTCTAGCCCACTCTTTTCCTATAAGTTCCTAACTACCCATTACATACAAGGCTAAGACTAGTTCGGCTCTAAAGAGCATGTCTTGCAGGTTTCAAGTTCTAGTATCATATTTACTTAGGGTGGTAGCTTTTCAAACCCTGGTGCCCTTTGTGTATTAGGTTTGAAAAAAATAAGGGGCTGTTGTGGAGAGGGCATGGTCCAAATATCCACCGCTCTTAGAAGCAAGTGCCTCTGAGACCCCACTCCTTCACATGCTTGGGAGTTACCTGCACCCGACGATTCATCCCAGGAGTCCTCAAGGTCACTGGCTTCTCGAATCCGGTCACTGATTCTCAGCTGACAATCTTCATCTGATTCCTTAACTCTTTTCAAGAAAGGCTGACGATCAGTCACCTGAGTCCTTTCTGCTTTCACAATGGAAGTTCTCTTTTCCCTTGGGGTGTCAGAGGCCACCAAGTTCTGATCACAGTGCTTGGCCCAAGAAGCAGCCTCCATTAGGTTGTCTGGGTCAGTCACTACCTGATTTCGAAGAAGCTGATCCAGCGTATCATAAAATGGACAGTGCGGTGGATCCCCCATGCTGGTGGCGTGGGCAACATAGGCCTTTAAATATAATGCCTTCAGAACTTTAAACTTGGAGCGGCACTGGCGTTCGGTGCGGCGGAAGCCTTCCTGCTGCATTCGCTTGGACACAGCCTGATAGACATCTGCATTATGATGTACAGTCTGGAGGCGTTGAATATACTCTGCCTCGCCTAGTATGGAGAGAAGAGTTCGTGTCTCCTGTCTGGACCACCGGATGCCCGCACTGCTACTGGTGGTGGCCATAGTGAGCTGGAAAGGAAAGGTACTGCAGCAAGCTCCCGGGCCACAGGTGCACAAATCTGAAGATGTGGGGAAGCTCTGTGTACTCTCAGTGTATTTCCAGGAGCCAGTCCATTCTTCCCTCTCAGGGTATTTGCTGAGAAGTCAGGTCCAAGGACCACACTTCTGGATGGAAGGCCACAAGGGAATGGAGTAACACAGGGAGGGTGTAAGGATTTTTAGGCAGCAAGTAGTGCTGCCTATACGTAGGTCATAAATAGGCATGAGGCCCAGATTCAGAAAGCCCAACTTTGGGAGTTCACCCAGGGTAGGTACTGGACCAGGGCTTAATGGCTTCATAACAAAAGAATTGGCTCCTCCACAAAGGGCGGAATGCTTCCAAGGCTGAGACCTGGTACAACCATGTATCTGTAAAAATCACCATTGTCTGGTAAGTAGTCAAGCGGAAGAGGAAAAGAACCTCGCTCATGAGGCAACTAACTCTAGAGAACTAGTATGAGGAGGATGGTCATACAGCAGTATGTCTGAGGAGTACTTGACCTTTACTAACCTTAGCCTAGATACCATGTTGTGGCTTTTAGCCATCTATTACTATTGCACTCCTTGCTAGAAGGGACAGGAAAGTTGTTTGGCTAATATGAAGCTCTGTGAATAAGGCAGAAGACAGCCATTTCTTTTTTTCTAACCATCTATCAAATAGCAGTATAGAGGAAACAAATGAAGTTGGCTGAAAGGGAATGTATCTATGGAAATGTTGTTTCTTGATTCTATACCTGTGTTTCTGGATTGTGATATTAAACCACAGCTTTGCATGATGCTGGTACTGGGAAGAAGTACTAAATCTAATAAATAAATATACTGGATGCCTGTTTTGTTTTTTTATAATTGTATGTGAAACTACATTTACCTCAAAACAAAAGGGTTACTTAAAACAAATTGCTGACCCCCTCCATGATTCAGGCTTCAAGATCCATTACAATTTCCTGCTTTTGTCCAGATTTTATTATTTGAAAATATTTGATACCAATTTATTAATAGGCTTAGCACTGAATTTTTCCAATAGGAAACAAGATATTGGAATACATTCATCACAGAGATTTAAATTTTTTCCAAAAATTCTGTATCAAGTTTAATTTAACTGAAGAGGCTATACACAACTAATTAATATTAAATGTAATCTATAATCTGCAATTTATAAAATCAACTTAAGGAAATGTCTACTTAAATTCTCATTAAATGCAACAGAAAGGACAGACTGGAGTGAGGTTAGGAGACATGTAGAGCAGGTTATCTAGTTCAGTCTTTTAACTGACTTAGAAATACTAAAGGTTCTCTGTGCCTTGGTTGTCTCATCTATAAACAAGGAAGGATAGTACCTGCTCTCTGTTTTTAAAGGATGTTGAGAGGATTAAGTAATATAATAGACATGAAAGCACTGTGCAAGTTTAGATACACCATCAAGTACTATACTCTAGTATAAATAAAACCTCCTAATTATGATGGTAATCTATAATTTGAGGAGACAGAAGTCTTGACAGGCAAGCCTCTTTAATCTTCTAATCAAAGTTACAGCAGATGATTAACCTGATTCCTACAACAAGACATTGAGTTGTTTCTCGAATGATTAAATTTGTAAGCCAACTAGAAAAGTCAGTTCCCAGCCAAGTGTCACAAAAGGCCTTAAGAAAATCAATAGCAGCTATATCAAGTATGATTAATTGTAATATTTTGCAAAATCCAATCTATACACAAAAGTCTTCAAATTCTCACAAATCACTCAAATTCCTTCAGATAAAAAAATAGAAAAGTGTGAAAAGTCCAAACTAGCACCTCTGAATGATAAATCATCAAAAGTAAACAAGTGTTGACATTTATGAATGCTAACTGACTTGTGAATAAGAATCAATTATCTGTAAATCCTACTCTCCAGAATACCTAACAGGAATAACAAAAAAAGCAATCTACTGGGGTACCCTCTTGGAAACAATGCAGTCAAGAAAGACAACAAAATAATGGTGCTTCTAGTATCACTTTACACTATGCTCAGAACTTAAAAAAACACATTTCTGTTACAGCACTTTGAAGTATTTTACTCCATACCTTCTTCCCAGGATCTGCTTTACTTTCACTACTGTATTTGAAATATTTCTTATTCTACTTTGTTTTGCAGCCAGTCCAACCACCTGAAAAAAGAAAAAAGTAACATATCACAATGCATGTAATTTGTACTTATTTCCATGGACTGAAAAAAAAAGAGAGAGAGAACAGTAGTAGTACCTCTTCATTCTCGGAGTAAGCTACAACAGCAGGGGTAACTCTATCTCCTGCATCATTTGCAACCACATCTGCACGGCCATCCTAGAGAAAAGCATACAACTCTGAGTTAGTCCTTTTAAAATGAAATACACAGTCTCATTAGGAAGATTTGGATTATTCTGCTGATATTTTAAACTTGTGGGTTTTATTACTATTATTTTTCTGGATTTTATAGAACTCACTCACATTTTTCAGTCTGCTCCAATCAGTGAGCTGGACCAAACATAAACAACTTTAACAATAACAAGCATCATTCTACCTCTGGTCCTTCTTCCCAGAAATATACCTTAAAAAAAAAAAACCTTCAGTAAACTAAGTAGCAAATCTCTTTGCATTTTTCATACAAATCAATTGACATTTAAAACACAGGACCTAGGAGCAGGGGAGTTTCTCCTTCCTCGACCTTGAGGTTAGAGAAAGCCTGTCATTCACAGCACTCAGAGATGGCTCAAGCTCCAGATTAGAGCCAGCCTCCTTCTCCCCACTCCATCCCTCCCCCAAATCCAGTGGATCCCAGAAGTTGGGGCCCGCCCACCTCAGGAAGTGGCCTCAAACGAGAACCCTCCCGGTATCTGCTGCAAAGACTTGGCCCCGACATCCAGGAACCCCTCAAGGAATCCAGTGGCCCAGGAGTTCCCGGGACGCCCCTAGGCGCTCCCTGACCCCCAGCCCAGGGGTCTTGGGAGATCTGGAGACTCATCCGGACATCCTCTGGTCCTTCTCCTCGGACTTCTCCAGCAATCCCAGCTGCCACGATATTCCTGGGGCCCCTGTGGGCACCCCGGCGACCCCTCCGGTCATCCTGCGGCCCAGGTGTCCTGGGACTCCTGGGGTGGCCCGGACATTCTGGGGCTCTTCACGGTGGCCAGGACGTGATGATGAGAGTCCTGGGGGGGACCCGGACGCTCGGGGCCTCTTCGGGGTGGCCTGGACGCCCTTGGACTCTATGGAGCGGCCTGGATCTCCTGGGACTCCGGGGGTGGGCCGGACGTCCTGGCACTCCTCGGGGCGCCCAGCCGCAGGGGTCCCTCGAGGCGCCCTGCCTCCCCGGGACCCCGCGCGCCCGCGTCGCCACGTGCCACAGCGAGGGCGCGGCGGGCTTTCCCGGAAGAACTCCCAGAGCCGAAGCCGAGCTGGCCCCGGCCCTTCGCCTCGAAGCGTCCAGCGGCAACGCCACTCTTGCGCGACGGCCCTCGGCCGCCATGAGAGCTGCAGCGCGGCTCTCCGGGTCCCTTACCTTGTACACGGCCACACAGGCTGACGTGCAGCCCAGGTGCACTCCGATGGCCGCCATGAGGCGGCGGGACCGCGGCGGCTGTGAGCGAGGGGTCCCCGGCAGCAACAGCAACACGCCACAGAGCAGCCCCAGCAGGCACCGCGGAGACTTCACGTTCCCGCCCGCCCACTGCATCCGGTCCGCCGCGCCGGCGTTTCCGAGTGGCTGCCAATCAGAGCGAAGGTCCCGCCTTTTCTCACGAGCAGTCAGCGAATAGCTGTGGTGCGCCGCCCCGCGCAAGCGGTAGTGCGCACACTCCGTCCGGAAAGGGGACCGGAAGAGGCTCCTTGCTCCTCCTCCTCGCTACCCTGGTTTTTGTCACAGCCAATGGGAACTCTCGCTTGAGTTGCCTCATTTGTCCTAGCAACGCAGTGTCAGATCTTTTTTTTTTTTTTCCAGCCCAACCTCTTGGTGGTGGTGGACGTCCCCGGGAGCGGTGGTGTTTTGCACCTTCTGGCTCAACATGCGGTGTGCAAGCTCAGCTGCCATCGTGGCCTTTTGCACCGGGCTTTGGGTCTTTAACCTGGCGCTGGTGCCGGGCCAGGAGACCGGGAGGAGCCCGGGGTCCGACTGCGAAGGTGAGCGGTGTGTGACCTGCTTGCTTGGCGGTGGCACCGCAGCTGTCGTGGGGCTTTGGTTTCTCCCGGCTGTAAATAACATCTCATCCAAGAAATGCTGGGCCTTGGCCCTAACTTCAGATCGCTTCTCCTAAGCCTAGGTAAACCTTGACGCCTTGAGGCAAACCTGATTTGCCTGTTGAGTATTACATTGCCATCGTATTGGAATTTAGATCTGATTTTGTGCCAACGCTGCTAGATTCGGGTGAACTTGGCACCAAACCAATTCTGTTGGCTCTCTTGGCATAGAAGACGTTTTTCAAGTTCAAACTAGTTTGTGAGTCCCCACAGGGAAATCAAAACTCGACAATGAGTGGGGATGTGTGATCAGAGGACATAGCTACCATTGCTTAGTTAGAATTGCGTTACAAAGCGCTGTAACTACTTGAGAAGAGCAAGATAGAAAAGAATGGCTTATATTGTTCGGTTTTTAAGTTGTAGTAGACTTGTAGTTAGAGCCTCTGAATCTAGTCCCATCTAACCCTCCAGCTTTGAGACTGCTGTACCTGGCTTCACCCTTAGTTTACCCCCACCCCAAATCAGCATTCTTTACAGATGAGAGCAGAAAGAAGGGAATTGGCTCTGGCTAGCCCTCCTGGATTCCTCTGAGCTTGAACTGTAAGCTGTCTCAATACAGCGACGGAATAGGATGTATTCTAACTAAATAAAGTCTTAATACATGGAGTCCAGCTTTCTTCTATAAGCAATCATTCAATTTTTCTCCAGAAATCTAAAATATCTGCCTGATATTATTTTCAAACTTTGCTGGAGATGAAAGATATTTGTTTTCTCAGCTATCACTTTGCTTCACAATATCACTTGTGTTCTAAGCTTATGTATCTTTCAAAAATTTACTACAGCTGTTGGGATTAATTACTAACCTGTGTATAAATTTCACTGTTAGGCAAAGAGGCCGTGGAAGGAGGTATGTGGAACAAGAATTAGGTCTGAGATACAGCTCTATTACTGCTTGTGAGATTTTTAAATAAGTTGCTTAATTTTACCTTAATGTTATAAGATTAAAATACCAATAGACACATGAAGAAATGCTCAACCTCTCTAGCCATAAAAGAAATGCAAGGGCTGGGAAGATGGCTCAGTGGTAGAGCGCTTGCCTTGCATGCATGAGGCCCTGGGTTCGATTCCTCAGCACCACATAAGCAAAAAGAAAAAAGCCGGAAGTGGCGCTGTGGCTCAAGTGGTAGCGCTAGCCTTGAGCTGAAGAGCTGAGGGACAGCGCCCAGGCCCAGAGTTCAGGCCCCACGACCGGACCCCCCCCCAAAAAAGAAATGCAAATCAAAACAACATTGAGATACCACCTCACCCCAGTTAGAATGTCTAGAATCAAGAACTCTAATAACAACAGATGCTGGAGGGGATGTGGACAGAAGGAAACCTTACTGCATTGTTGGTGGGAATGTAAACTTATTCAACCACTTTAGAAAGCAGTATGGAGGTTCCTCAAAAGACTCCACATAGAGCTCCCCTATGACCCAGCAATCCCACTTTTGGGCATTTACCCAAATGATCACAAACAAGACCACATTAAAGCTACCAGCACAACTATGTTTATTGCAGCATTATTTACCATAGCTAAGATATGGAACCAACCCAGATGCCCCTCAGTAGATGAATGGATCAAGAAAATGTGGTATATATACACAATGGAATCAGAAAGAATGACATTGCCCTATTTGTTAGGAAATGGAAAGACTTGGAAAAAATTATATTAAGTGAAGTAAGCCAGGCCCAAAGAAACATAGGTTCCATGGTTTCCCTTATTTGCAATAACTAGTATATGTCTGAGTCAAGCAGAAAAGGTTGGATAAGTTGATGTTAGGGGAATGAACTCCAAGATAAGTATTCAAATTTTTTTCCTTTCATGCAATTGTTTCTATCATATTTATAAGATGATTTCTATGTTGCTTTGTATGTCCCTTCCCCACAGTATAACCCATACTTTCACTGTATTTGATGTTGGTATAATTTGTGGAGGGGAAGGGAAAAAAACAAATTGTTCGACTAGGGATACAGGTGGACCCATTGCAACAATGAGATGTACAAGTCCTTATGTGGAAAAACGAACTTAACAACTTTGGTGGGGGGTGGGAGGAGTATGGGAAGGGATGGGAAGTGGAAACAACGAGGAGGCAACAATGCTTGATAAGAAATGTACTTGTTATCTTGCCCATTTAATTGTAACTCCTCTGTATGGTATTCTCACAATAAAAAAATAAATACCCTGTATTTATTTTTTGTACCTGCTGATGCATTTTGTTAAGTTCACAAAGTCTTTTGAAAACATTTTTTAAAAAAAATTTAATTAGCTGCTTTTTGAAATTTGGATTTCTGACTGTTTTTGGAAACCCAGATTACCATCCACTCACTCACCCAGAGCACCTTCTAGTCCTGCCAGCTCTATTCATGGCCAGGACTATACATAGGTGAACCATTTTATTTTTGTCTCTTATACTGTATCTTTACAGTGCCTTTTCTATGGTTAGACACATTTACACAAATACTGTTATGTTACCCCTTGCCTACAGCATTCAAAACAGTCGTGTGCTGTACAGGATCCTAGGCTCTGTAAGCTTTACCTAGCCTAGGTAAAGGCAGGCTCAGCCATCTAAGTTGGCATATGTGTCCTCTATGTTGTTTCCATAGGAGAATACCTAATGATACTGTCCCAGGATGTATCCTATTATTAAGTGATGCTTGACTGTATATTTGTCTGCTCTCATTGTTTCCAACTGGATAAAATATTAAGATTCTCCAGAGATTCAGAACCAGTAGGATGTGGGGGGAGGAAGGGGTAGTCGGTCTTCACCTTAAAATTGAATTATATCCCGGTAACTCCATTATAAATTGAAATGATCCCCAAATCAAAACTGCATTTATTCTACCAAACCTAGGAAGCATCATAGTTTATTAACAGCACACTGTGGATATAAACACACGGGGTACACTCATGATCATGTGAATGACAGCTAGTAGTACCTGACTTTCCCTACATGGAGCTTTCCCTGAGAAACGTCACAGATCTATGGGAAAGAACACTGTAAGTGATGGCGAGCTGAGACCAGAAACAGAAGAAGCATATGTAAAAAGGTTTCAGGTATCAAAATGCTTATTAGGCATTGGAGATAAAATAAGATTTTTTTTCTGCTAAAAAAATAAAGGATGGGGACCAGTGGATAGCTCAGTAGGCAGAGCGTTTGTTCTAGTATGAGTGAAGTTCTTGGTTCAATTCCCAGGATCACAAATAAAACAAGATAGAAAAGAACTGAAAATATGGGAAAAAATGTCAAGAGGATACAAAAAACGTCTACTCATGTGGAAAAGAACCAAGTAAAGCTCTACGGATGAAATTGATGGGATTAAAAACATTTAGCTACAGATGAGAAAATGAATTAAGAATAAAGTAATTATCAAGAAGGAATCACTGAGAGATAAAAAGATAAAAACAGGAAAGAAGGGTAAAAGGTACAATAGAATAGAGAGGAGTTCTAACTTGTTTATTGACTTTTCAGGATAGAAGAGAAGATATACAAATTCAGTGTATTTCAACAGAGTATTAAAAATATTCCACTATCACATCATAAGAAAATCACACATCAAAAGAGAAAGGTCATCTTAAAAGCAGAGGGGAAAAAAGAGAAAATTCCTTCAAAAGAATTATTAGATTGAGCTTCACATGAATTTTAACAGCAACAAGGGAAGGCTCAAAGTCCCAGAGTAAAAATGCCACTCTTGGTGGAGTGCTTGCCTAATAAATCTTGTACAGGGCCTTGAGTTCATTTCTTAGCACCACAAGGCAACAACAAAAAGTAAAGCTAAGCTTTAGACTCTGAGTGTTGAGGGGTTGAACAGTGAATCAGAGAGCAGTAATTATAAGTAGTGTGGTTTGGGGAAACATTACAAATAAAATTGGATCAAAGAGTTGTCCAAATGATTCAAGAGGTTCTAAGTCTTCTTAAAGCCCTACCTCATTCTAATAGAGTCCCACCCACTACCTTCAAGATTGGTTTAGTGAGGCTTCTTTTTGTTTTTCCTTCCTTCTCTGAAAATTAAACTGGAGAAGATGATAGGATAGCTTTTTTTTTTTTTTTTTGGTCAGTCATAGAGCTTGAACTCTGGGCCTGGGAGCTGTCCCTCAGCCCTTCAGCTCAAGGCTAGAGCTCTACCACTTGAGCCACAGAAGCACTTCTGGTTTTCTGGGTGGTTTATTGGAGATAAGAGTCCACAGACTTTCCTGCCCAGGCTGGCTTTTGAAACATGATCCTCAGATCTCAGCCTCTTGAGTAGCTAGGATTACAGGGGTGAGCCTTTGTTCTAGGAGGTGTGGATAGAACTGTTGAAAATAATGTTCATAGCCAACTGGCAATTTTTTTTTTTTTTTTTTGTCGGTCGTGGGGCTTGAACTCTGGGCCTGGGCGCTGTCCCTCAGCTCTTTAGCTCAAGGCGAGTGCTCTACCACTTGAGCTACAGCGCCACTTCCGGTTTTCTGGTGGTTTATTGGAGATAAGAGTCTCACGGTCTCTCCTGCCCGGGCTGGCTTTGAACCACGATCCTCAGATCTCAGCCTCCTGAGTAGCTAGGATTACAGGCGTGAGCCACCAGCGCCCGGCCCCAACTGGCAATTTTAATAATTCCATGAACCTGAGCTTAATCATTGTGTCATAATTCACCTGACAAAACTGGAACTTTACTCCTGAAGGTGACATTATTATATTTTAAAATATTGTTTTATCCTTTCAGGTCCTGGCTAATAATTTTCTAATGAATCTATGATTTCACTTAAAAACTTTCAATTCCATTTATTAATATTAGCAAATATTTTATGAAGCATATTGGAAGTTTTTATAATAAAGATATGATGCGTTCTTTTTAAACAATAAACTAGGAAGTATTTCAAACAGAAAAAATTAAGTAATATATACCTATCCTCTAGATTGAATGTTAATATTGTTGTCTATCTGTTATCAGTACCTCTGTCTTCAAAAAATAAAATATTAGGTGTAGGTAATAACTTTTTTTTTTTGAGTCCGGTCGTGGGGCCTGAACTCTGGGCCTGGGCGCTGTCCGTCAGATCTTCAGCTCAAGGCTAGCGCTCTACCACTTGAGCCACAGCGCCACTTCCGGCTTTTTTCTTTTTGCTTATGTGGTCTGAGGAATCAAACCCAGGGCTGCATGCAAGGCAAGCGCTCTACCACTGAGCCACCTTCCCAACTCTAGGTGTAGCTAATTCTTTTTCCTTGACCCAACTAATATTTTCAGAGGAAGTAACAAACCAAAAGTTAAATGTGTACTTCTCATGAATTGTGTGTGTGTGTGTGTGGGGGGGGGTCCTGGGGTTTCAACTCAGGGCCTGAACATCGTCCCTGAGCATTTGTACATAAGAGTAGAATTCTACTACTTTAGCGACAGCTTCACTTTTAGCTTTTTGGTGATGAATTCGAGATAAGAGTCTCATGGACTTTCCTGTCCAGGCTGGCTTTGAACGTTGATGCTCAGATCTTAGCCTCCTGAGTAGCTAGGATTATAGGCATGAGCCACTGGCACCTGGCCCTTTTACATTTTTTTAAAAGAACTTGTACTATTAGGATATAAAGGATCTGTTTTGTGACCTTGAATCTATATAAATTTTACACTGTTCATATTCTTTGCAACATCTTTTTGTGGTACCAGGTTTTGGGCTCCAAACTTCACACTTGCTAAGCTGGTATTCTACTATTTGACCCAATTCCTCCCCACCCCATCCTTTTTACTTATTTTTCCAATAGAATTTAGTGTTTTGTCCTGGGCCAACTGGACTATGATCCTCCTATTTATTATATCCAATAGCTGGGATGATGTGTAGAGTTTGTAGTACAGCTCTCCTTTTAGGTGGAGCTTGGTTCCAAAGATTGATTGACTCAATAAGCTCATGCAAAGTGTCCATGGCTTTAGTAACAGGCTCCAGATCATAGCATTTGAGTCTATTGTCTCAATGATTAAAACCTACCTATTTTTTAAAAACTTGCTCTTTGGGTTATATACAGAGGTGGATAGAGGGTTATACCTGCAAATGTATTTCTTTATTCCTTCTAGTATGTAAAGAATTCTTAAACCGGTTCTACAACTCCTTAATTATCAGTGACATTAACTTTACACCGGACACCATAGAAAAAGAATTGATCAGCTTTTGCTTGGATGCCAAAGGAAAAGAAAATCGTCTGGTATGGTCCAATTCTATAATTTATTTTTCCTGTGTGTTTAGAGAAAACCACTAATAATTTAATGTCTTACTGTGTACTTGACACCCTCCTACTTATGTGCTTGCTTTATGTGTGTGTGTGTGTGTGTGTGTGTGTGTGTGTGTGTGTTTTGGGGGGGGGGGGCCCAGTTGTGGGGTCTGAACTCTGGGCCTGGGCGCTGTCCCTCAGCTCTTCAGCCTCAAGGCTAGAGCTCTACTACTTGAGCCACAGCGCCACTTCCGGCTTTTTTCTTTTTGCTTATGTGGTGCTGAGGAATCAAACCCAGGGCCTCATGCATGCAAGGCAAGTGCTCTACCACTGAGCCACCTTCCCAGCCCTTATGTGTGTTTCTTATCTTTTTCTTTTCTATGTTGCAGTATGGGGTTTTGAACTCAGTGACTTATGCTTGTTGGGCAGGCACTGTACCACTTCAGCCACATGTGTGGCCCTGTTATTTTTGCAATAGGGTCTTGCTTTCAGCCTGAACAGGCTAATAACCTGATATTTGTTTATTTTATGTTCCTCATTGCTTCTGGGATGAGAGGCAAGTATCATCACATTCAGTGTCACTTCTTCAACGTGGAGTCCCATGGACTTTTCTGCCATCTTGGAACCATAGTCTTCTTATTCTCAGCCTCCCAAGTAATACCTAGGATTACAGGCATGTGTCACTGGCTCAAGCACAATTCTGGAAGACAATAAGAAGTCAGTCATCCAGGGAAATATAGTTGTTATACTTTCATAATTCATTTTCATTTTGCTTCCTGAGTAAACAACCAATTAAATGTGAGACTGTAATACTGAATTGGTAATAAGAATTTACTGTCTTGAATTAAAAGTGGGTAGATGTTTCATTTCTTACCAAGACAATTAGTCAGTTATCAAAACACTTTATTATCACTTATAATATATAGTTCATATATTATAGATTTATGAAGTATACATAAATTATATATTTCCGGGTTTTTTCTTTTTTGCTTATGTGGTGCAGAGGAATCGAACTCAGGGCCTTATGCATGCAAGGCAAGTGCTCTACCACTGAGCCACCTTCCCAGCCCCAACATACATAAATTATATATTTCATGTTAAGTTTCATATATATATATATATATATATATATATATATATAGAGAGAGAGAGAGAGAGAGAGAGAGAGAGAGAGAGAGAGAGTGTGGGGGGGGGGGGGGGTAACTGCGGTTTGAATTTAGCATCTCATGCTTGCTAGGCAGATGCTCTTTTACTTGAGCCCCTCTTCTAGTTTGTTTTACACAGGTTATTATTTTGAGATAGGGTTTCATGTTTTGCCCAGGTATGTGTATGGACTGTGATCCTCTTATTTTATGCTTCCTGCTGTAGCTGCCATGACAGCACACAGAATCGCACCTAGTTTCTTCCATTAAGACAAAGTCGTCTGAACTTTTGTGCCTGAGCTGGACCAGAATCTTAATATCCCTCATCTCAGATTCCTGAGTAATATTACAGCCATGAGCTACAGTGATTTGCTTGTATTTTCTTGTAATGACATTTAGATGGTGTTTCCCTAGCTTAAAAGATGGTTTGGAGCCAGGCATTGGTGGTTCATGCCAGGAATCCTAGCTACTCAGGAGCTAGCCTAGGCAGGGAAGTCTGTGAGACTCTTATCTCCAATAAACTACCCAGAAAAAGCAGGAAGTGGTGCTATGACTCAAGTGGTAGAGAAATAGCCTTGAGCAAAAGCAACTCAGGGACAGAGCCCAGGCCCAGAGTTCAAGCCCCAGGACCAGAAAAAAAAGATGCTTTGCTTTAACAAAGTGTTTTATATTGCTAAAGACATTTCAGACTCCCTCTCCCATTCCTCCTCTTCTTCCCCAGGCTAAAAGTTTGCTATGTGCAATGTAACAGGACCAAAATGGTCATGTTGAATTTGGCAGTTAAATTTGCATTATTGACTGTTTCCCACTGACACGTGGCAAAACACTTGTAATTTATCTTGAGTTAAGGTGTTTGATATTTTCATATGTAAAATGCAGAAGTCAGGCAGCTTGAAAGGCAATATTGCATGATGGAAAAGGTCCATCAGAGAGCCAAAACTTTAAGATTTTTATCATTCTGCCTCTTCTCCTTGCTGGCTGGGTGACCTTTAGTCATCTGGATTACAACTTGTGGATCATTTGCTTCACAGAACTGCTGTGATAAATACGTCAGCTAAGGCTTTCCAAGCAATAGGAGCAACCTGGCCACAGAGAAAACGCTTCCTAAGTGTGAGCTCTTCTCACTCTTCTGTGAACTATGTGTAGGGAACTTCTAATTAGAATAGATATGAGGATAGACTCATTGACTTCTGCTGTCTTAATCAGTAGGGTTTAAAATTAAGTAACTGGACCATGAAAACTAGGCTAACCTCTCTTCTCCCTTTTCTCCAATTATTTATCTATATTTATCTTCCTTCCTTCCTCCTTCCCTCCCTTCCTTCTTTCTTTATTTTCTTCTCTCTCTCTCTCACTTTCGTTTGGTTTTTACACTCAAGGCTGGCACTCTACCAGTGACTTTTGCTAGTTAGTTGGAATCTCACGGACTTTCTTACCCAGGCTGGCTTTGAACTTCAATCCTTACATCTCAGCCTCCTGAGTAGCTGGAATTACAGGCCTGAGCCACCAGCAGCCAGTTCATTTCATACTTTTTTTTTCATTGCCCAGGACACTAAATTCTCTTCATTCTCCCTCAGTGTTATTATCTAGGGGCCACAAAGGATGCAGCCACCAAGATCCTAAGTGAAGTCACACGTCCCATGAGTGTGCACATGCCGGCAGGGAAAATTTGTGAGAAGCTGAAGAAGATGGACAGCCAGATCTGTGAGCTGAAATATGGTATAACAGAGCCAAGGATCTTTTTTTCCAATACATCTAACGTATTGTCACACTTCAAAACATGCCGCCGTGTTATCTAGAAGGTCAGGGTTAGAAGGAAAGGAATTCTCTTCCACTCTGGGAATGGCTTCTGTACCTAGTGCCACTTGAGTTTTTTTTAAGGAGGGGAAATAAACAGCCTAATAATAAACAACCTAATGCATAATCAACAGTAGGTTAAACTGCCAACTTAGACAGCGAAGTTTAAGCTAATTCACCAAGGCAACATCAGCCATATATGCCCAGGAAATTTCCAGAATATAAAAAGAGCCTCCACCAATGATGACTTAGCTCCTGGTAACCTATGAAAAAAAGTGGCATCTATTCAAAGAGGTTAGTAGGACTTGGAGGTTATAAATATGACTGCTATTTTCCTTCCTAGGTCTAGTTAACATTCTGCCTGCTATAAATTTTAGGAAATAGGTTAGTCATATCAAATAAGGTTTTGTCTGATAAAACAGCTTGTCAAAGGTACCTAAAATAAATAGCAAGGCAAGAGATGCCCTATTTAAAACATCATCCTTGGCCTTATAAAGTCCACATTGATCTATTCTTACACTGAGAATTTGTATCTGGGCCAGTCCTCTGAGTAGATAGAACAGATATGATAAAAGGCTAGGTTTTTTTTTTCCCCTCAGTGTCCCAACAATGGAACTTCCATCAACAGAGACTTGCTTCTTTTGCTTAAGTCATTGTTTTATGTTACATACCCAGCATACTACTATAAACTACCCAAGTAATGAACATCCAGCCAATCCTGACTTCCTTAGTCAGTCATATTTCCCAACGTGGCTGTGTGATATATGTAGACATCGTATTACACGTGGCAAACCTGAAATAGGTTTAAGTTACTAAAGACAACCTATTTCTCCACATATGCCACGCCAGGCCCTAACACCCAGGGTGGTTATTATGGGTAAGAGTCTCTTTTTATTGGCGTCAAAGAAATGAAGTAGAAGCAGGAATCACCGACTCCACATCTATAGAAACAGTATTTACAAAAGTGACACACCTGTGTTGGTTCTTTTATTTGATAACTTTATTTGAAAATCAATGTATAAACAGGATCTTACCAGGCTTCTGAAAGAAGGGTCAAAGGAAGCAGATATTATTGAGAAAAATGAATACTTACTCATATTTTTTGTGACAACACTGGCCACTAGAGGCCCTTGGGGAGCCATGAACGTATTTTTTTTGTGACCATTTTCTTGTAGTTTTAGGATATCATAGGGGTGCTGTCTTTTTAAAGTTTAATTGTGAAACTACATTTGCTAGAAAAAAAAAATCAAGGAAACTGCTGGTATTTTCAAGAAAGTATTTTTCCTCTTCAACTACTTTTCTCGACTAGATCAATAGTTTTAAATGCATCTTGGCTTACTGTTGGCAGAAGATTGAACAAGGCCTATATGCTGGGGATGTTGATTTTTTAGTATAAAATTTCCTGTTTTGAAAGATAGGCTGTAAAATTAACCCCCAAATTCACATGCAAGGTAAGAGTGGCATTGGTTAATATTCCAATGAGGAGGAAGACATTGAACCCAAAGATTAGTTTTCTCACTCAGTTCTCAAGATCCTTATAAAAATGTAAGAATTCTCTAGAACACAGAGTTTCATTTCATTGGCCCTCCAAGTTAAAAAAATCTTCCAAATTTAGCTTTTAAATTAGAGCACACTTACTGGAATTTTTTTTTGACAACTCACTTAATGATTCAATTTTTAATGTTTTAAAATGTTGTGTTCTGCTTTGCAAAGGAAAATAAAAAGGGCAGCACTTTTAAATGGAGGTCCAGCCAGAAAAGTCCTGGCTGGCACTAATGGCTTACGAAGTGAACTTGAACATTGTATGGGACACATGGTTACAGGTAGACTTGGTAATGAAAGCGGGGCAAAGGAGAATTCTTCAAAGGAGGAAAATCACATCTTTCTGCTAGAGAAGTAATGATCATATTGTAGATAAGCTTACTTTTTGATTTCCTGTTTTAGGATGTAGCAATAGAGAAATAGCTGATTCTTGATATTCTCTGCAGATAATGTGTAAGCAGAGAAAGAGTGTTCTTGCTAGGCAGGTGGATGTTGGTGACAAGTATTAAGGCAGGGATTTGGGGTCAGGTTGGCTGGAACTGAATCACTGGCATTAAGAAGCAGGTATTCCACAAAGGGCCGCAACATCAAAGCTGGGATAACTCAGGAGTCCCTGTCAGATGGGACATTAGGAGAGTTCACCCAGCAATCCCACACAATTGAAGATTGGTGACCATGTTCCTGATTTTATTCATAGGCTTGGCTTTCCTCTTCTTTTTTTTTGTGTACTGGTTTTGGGCCTGAGCTCAGGGCCTGAGTGCTATCCTTCAGCTTTTTTTGCTCAAGTCTGATGCTCTACCACTTGAGCCCACAGCTCGATTTCCAGCTTTTTCTGGTGCTTACTTCGAGATAAAAGTCTCAGGCACTTTCCTGCCTGGACTGGCTTGGAACTGTGATCTTCAGATCTCAGTCTCCTAAGCAGCTAGAATTACAGGCGTGAGCTACTAGCTTTTCCTCCCATTTTTACAGAAGACTACTGAGCTCATCTGTCTTAATGAGGATCAATATTATTATTATTAGCTTTGAGTAGTTTTACAAAAATTTCCATCTAACATGTTAGTTTATGAGTACAATGCATCTTGATCAGTATCATCCCTTCCAATATTCTCCCCTGTCTCTCCCAAACCACACATAAGATAAAATTTATATATAAAAAAATAAAGAATTACCTGATGGCTAATTATGACCTATGGCTTTCAGTTAGTCACTAGGGAGGTCATCCTAAAAATACTGTTTCTAATGAATTACTGTCTTTTCAACCTTAGGAGCAGTAGTTAGGATACAGTGCTATTTGTTTAGGGGCTCTAATATGAGAGCCCTGAAGGCCCTTGTTTTGAAGCAAGGTACTCTCTTAAGAGAGAAACCCAAATCATCATCATAACTCTATACAGTTTTCCTTGGCATACTGGAAGGGAGAGAATTTGGTCCCAGGACCTCCTGCAGATCCCAAAGTTCCAGACACTCAACCAACTCGCTAGGCAAAATGGCATTTTATTTGTATAGAACTTACACACATCCTACCAGATCCTTTAAGTCATCTCCAGACTACTTAAAATACCTCATCCAGGGCTGGGAGGTTGGCTCAGTGGTAGAGTGCTTGCCTTGCATGCATGAGGCCCTGAGTTCGATTCCTCAGCACCACATAAACAGAAAAAGCCGGAAGTGGCGCTGTGGCTCAAGAGGTAGAGCGCTAGCCTTGAGCTGAAGAGCTGAGGGACAGTGCCCAGGCCCAGAGTTCAGGCCCCACACCGCCAAAAAAAAAAAAACACAACTCATCCAACATGTAATGCAAGTAGTTATTATACTGTGTTGTCTAGGCAATAATGACAATAACAAGACGAATCATGTTCAATTCAGACTCCATGATTTGGTCCATGGCTGGTTGCCTTTGAGAATATAGAACCCACAGATAGGGGGTACGTTTTCCTTGCCTCGGATCCTATGAAAGCTCGAACTGTTTCCATATTGGATTTTTATGGGAGTCAGCACCATGTGCCTTTTTAAGTGTTTCACAAGGTTTCTTGGTTTTGTTTTGTGTTGTTATTGTAACAGTGCTTTTATTTTTTTGGCACTTAGAAAAGACTTTGGACTTGGCGTCTGTGGATCTGTGGAAGATGAGAGTAGCAGAGCTGAAGCGGATTCTGCATGGCTGGGGTGAAGAGTGCAGGGCCTGTGCAGAAAAAGCTGACTACGTGAATCTCATCAAAGAACTGGCCCCCAAATACCAAGTGGCGTATCCCCAAACAGAGCTCTAACCATGGACACCAGCACACTGTGGCTTAAATTAGGGAGAAAATGATGCTCAAGCCTGTGGACCAGTTCCAGGGTATCCTGGAACTGCATTGTGTTGGGTGTCAGACCTTTTTGTCTTTATAAGTATTACCTCAGAATTTTGTCTCTGACTAAACTTGGGAATTTTACTGGCATCTCACGTTTGTAGTGAGCCAAAGCCTGCAAGTGCCTTTCACCTGATGCTCCTTGCTGATCTTCTAAAACTGGGAAAACAGAACTGTTGAATACTGATGAGATAAGCTGATTTTAAGAGCAAAGAGTGTGCCCACATGGGGTGTTTTTGTATACGAGTTTAAAATCAAATACATTGAACTAGGAGAAAAGAAACAACAGCTTGTCTGACATACAACTCTAACCCTAATAATGACCTAACATAATCAACTTATTCTTTCCTTTTTCTTTTTTGACTGTAAAAAGATCTATTCTGGGTTTCTTTGCTCTCAGAATAGTAGGGCAGGGTCAATGGAAGTTACTGTTTTCCTCCTCAAGAAAACCTGCTTGAATCTACTTAGAGAAACCAGATCAAGCACCCATTCAAGGCTAGCCAGTGTTTGTAACCATACTTGCATTGGCAAGTGTTAGAGGATTAAAATGTCTCAAAAACATGCAGACAACATGGAGATTTGTGGTTTTTCAGTGCTATCATTGCTTTACACTTTTTTTTTAATTGTGAAAATACTATACAGAGGAGTTACAATTGCATGGGCAAGATAATGAGTACATTTCTTATCAAGCATTGTAGCCTCCTCCTGCTTTATACTTTTTATCTTTTATGTGGGTGTGTGGTGGTGGGGATGGAACTCAGGACATTGCATATGCTTCTCCACTTTCTGGCCATAGAGAAGTAGGAAGCCTCATGGATGGAGGCACTCAAGAGCTATATTTTCTTGGAACTTTCCGGATGATAGTGTGGCTTATATCTAGATTGGGGTGCTAATGAATGTGACAAGCACACTCATCTAGTAAGACCTGGACTTCTGATTGTATATAAGTTATATCTGAAAACTGCTGTGAAAATGACTGGAAATTACTGAAAATTAGTTGAGTCAAAATATCTTCTTTGTTTAAAGATTCATATTTAACCCAGGCATAGTAGCTTGAGCCTGTAATTTTAGGAACGTGGGGAGATAGGATACTTGTTCAAAGCTAGCCTGACCAAAAAGTTTGTATTACCCCATCTCAACAGAAAAAGCTGATGTGGTGATAGGTACCTGACACCTCAGCTACATGGGGAAGATATTAATAGGAGGATGACAGTCCTGGCTGGCTCAGACAAAAAGTAAGACCCTATCTATCTGAGAAATAACCAGAACAAAGAAGGGCATTCATGATATAGCGTCTTGAAGTGCTGAGTTCAAACCCTAGTACTATCAGAAAAAAAATCTGCTGGCTGAAAATCCATTTGAGGAAAGAAGAAGAAAAATTTCAGACTGTAAGTATGCATTGAAACTATAAGATTTCCTTCTCTTTTTTGTGTGCCAGTCCTGGGGCTTGAACTCACAAGCTGGGTTCCTTAGCTAAGCCTCTTTGCTGTTTTGCTCAAGGCTAGCTAGCACTTTACTACTTGAGTGGCACCTAGCTAAGGTGTGCTTTTTTTATTATTATTATCTTTAAGTAGTCATACAAAGCAAATTGCCATTCAACGCAGCTTATGAATATAGGGCATCTTGATCAATGTTACACCACTAAGGTTCACTTTTAAATGCTGAATTTTCAGCAGGCCAGTTAGGGCACAAATGAATGTATGAGAGCTAGTGGTTCTTGGTGAGATTTGTGTATTATGTAACTGAAAGAGGAGAATAGAAGCTTTGGTGTACTGAATGGCCCAAAGTGCTTATTATTTCTGGATTTTGGCAGCATAATCATTATGTATAAAGAATGTAATTTGGTTTGAATTAGGTCTTTTTTTTGTGTGTATGCCAGTACTAGGATTTGAACTCTGGGTCTCATGCTGTCCCTTGCTTTATTTTTCCACTCAAGCCTTGTACTCTTAACACTTGAGCCATACCTATGCTTGTGTTTTTCTGTGTGTGTGTGTGTGTGTGTGTGTGTGTGTGTGTGTGTTTGTGTGTTGTCAGTTGTAGGGGCTTGAACTCAGGGTCTGTCCCTGAGCTTTTGTGCTCAAGGCTAGCACTCTACCATTTTGAGCCACAGCTCCACTTTCAGTTTTCTGGTAATTAATTGTAGATAAGAGTCTCATGGACTTTCCTGCCCAGGCTGGCTTTGAATTGTGATCTTTAAATCTCAGCCTCCTGAGTAGCTAGGATTATAGTTGAGAGCCACCAGCCTCTAACTGCTTCTGGTTTTTGGTGGTTATTGGAGATAAGAGTCTCAGATATATATATCCTGGCTGGCTCAGACAAAAAGTAAGACCCTATCTATCTGAGAAATAACTATATATATATATATATATATATATATATATATAGCCCAGATTGGCTTCAAACTTTGATTCTCAGATCTCAGCCTCCTGAGTAGCTAGGATTACAGTTGAGAGCCACCAGCACTATTTATGTTTTTTTGCTGGTTATTGGATATAAGAGTCTCAAAGGTGGGCTGGGAAGGTGGCTCAGTGGTAGAGCGCTTGCCTTGCATGCATGAGGCCCTGGGTTTAATTCCTCAGCACCACATAAGCAAAAAGAAAAAAGCCAGAAGTGTGCTGTGGCTCAAGTGGTAGAGCGCTAGCCTTGAGCTGAAGAGCTGAGGGACAGCGCCCAGGCCCAGAGTTCAGGCCTCACGACCAGGCCCCTTCCCCCCCCCCCCAAAAAAAAAAATAATTTTTTTTGCCCAGATTGGCTTCAAACTTTGATTTTCTGATCTCAGTTCCTTGAATAGCTTAGAATTACAAGTGTGAACTCCTGGTGCTCAGATTGAATCATATTTTTAAAAAGCTCAGTTTAAATTAAAAAATAAACCCTCTACTTGTTTTTACATTGGTACTTTGAACTTACCATCATGAAATTTACCATTTGAAACAATGTTTGCTGACAGATCTCAAAATTGGATCCTATTTCTATGTCATTTTTTTTCAGGTTCTCAATCTAGGTAATAGGAGAATACCTCAGCAGTTGTCCAAATCAATGATGTTTATTCTGATCTTTCATAAAAGAGTTTCTATCAGTCTTCTGCAGCTTCACAAGCTGGGCACACAAATCCAGGGGATGAATGAGGAAGGAATATTACATTACAGGTTCTGATTATGGGAGTCTGGGGCAGGACCTCAGTGTCTATGTTTCTAAGTTAATGGGCTTTGTGTTTCCATTTATTTTCTGGCAGTGCTGAGGACCAATCCCAGGGCCTTATACACATAAGTGTCCTACCACTGAACTATATTCCCAGCTCTGAGCATCTGCATTTCTAACAAAAGCCTAGGCCATGCATCCTGTGACTGACATAGTTTATTATTATTATTATTATTGTCAAGGTGATGTACAAAGGGGTTACAGTTACTTAAGTAAGGTAACTTGTCAACCTTGTTACCCCTTACCTCATTTTTCTCCTACTTTCCCTCCCTTCCACCCCGACCCTCTACCCCCCACAAGTTGTACATATCGTCTCCAACATATTGTCTTGTGTATATTGCTATTGATTTGGTTCCCCCCTTGTCCTTTGTCTCTCCATTCTGTTGTTCCCTTTCCCTTCCCTAATTCAAATAAACATATATACAATACCAGGATACCAAAATCAAATACAGTAACAACAGATGATATACCATAGGGGGAAGAGCACATAACAGAAACAAAACAAATCACATAGTACATTAAACACAACAACAACAAAGAAAAACTTCTTGTGCTCACACTTTGGAGTTCATTTCACTTAGTGTCATCTTATATGGTCATATGTATAATTTTTTCCCTGTGCCAGTCTTAGTCAGTTAAGATTTGGCAGAGATGAATATAACAACAAAATGAAGAAACACAAGAGTGTGTTCTTAGCCATTTTTTTTTCCTATGCTACTAGCTACTCTAAAGGCTGAGAGCTGGAAGATCATGTTCTGAAAGCGTGGGCAGAAAAGTCATTGAGACCATCTCCAAAATAAACAGCAAAATGCCAGGCTGAAGGTGTGATTCAAGTGGTAGAGGGACAGCAAAAGAGCAAGTTGAGGGAGCTCGAGGTCCTGAGTCTAAGCCCTGCTACGAACAATTTTGTTCTTTCATATAGGAGAAGTTCACAAATAAGCAGTCCAGAGTAATTCTGACAGTGCCATGAAGTGATCACAGACCCAGCTCCAACCTTTCCCTTCACATCTTTTGTTTTGTTTTGTTTTGGTTTCTGTTTTTGTTTTTTGTTGGTTGTGAGGCCTGAACTCTAGGCCTGGGCGCTGTCCCTCAGCTCTTCAGCTCAAGGCTAACACTCTACCACTTGAGCCACAGCGCCACTTCCAGCTTTTTCTGCTTATGTGGTGCTGAGGAATCGAACCTAGGGCCTCATGCATACAAGGCAAGCGCTCTACCACTGAGCCACCTTCCCAGCCCTCCCTTCACATCTTAGTGGCAGGTTTCATTCTGATCCCATAAATCAAGGTGGCGACTGAAAGTCCTTCTTCCAGAAGGGAGAAAGCACTGCAGGTCTGCCATTGTGTCCTCTGTGCTCCATCCGCTCCCTCCCAGTCCTAGGCTCTCCACCAGCCCACCTGACCCACCACCACGTAACCACAGGCCAACTTCCCTGCAAGGAAATAACAACTTATGGTCGAAAACATTTGCTGTCCAACTAAAACTGGATTTTTTTTAATTGAAGAAGGGGAACTAGTTTTGAGGCCACAAACAAACCCTGCCATACAGTGCAGTTTTCCTTGTCCAAGAATCTCAGGCTCAAATCCCTGCCTTTCTTCTTTAGAGGTAGGAATAGCCTCTATTTTTTTTTGGGGGGGGGCCCGGTTGTGGGGCTTGAACTCTGGGCCTGGGCGCTGTCTCTCAGCTCTTCAGCTCAAGGCTAGCACTCTATCACTTGAGCCACAGTGCCACATCCGGCTTTTTTCTTTTTGCTTATGTGGTGCTGAGGAATCGAACCCAGGGCCTCATGCATGCAAGGCAAGCGCTCTACCACTGAGCCACCTTCCCAGCCCCTAAGAACAGCCTCTAAAGAACCCTTTCCCCTGCCTTCTCCTGGTTCTTTGTATCTTTTATGCGGTAGGCTGTAATGTCTTCTCCCCTCCCTACTTCTACTTCTCCTCTTCCTTTCCCTCTTCTTCCCTCTCCCTTTCCCCACTCCTTGTTGTCCTTTTTTGTTTGTCTGTTTTTGATGAGAAGTAGCGATGCTTTTCTATTTTATTTTCATTTAAAATCTCTTCTTCTTGATTGTACATGTGTTTATGTATGCATTTTTCATGTGTTCTTACCCCAAGTCCGTAGACACAGGAGTTTTAGGACTCAGATGTTATGATAAAAGTGACAGAGTTCTCCCCCTCAAAAAGCACCGGTTGACAAGGCCGCCACTGCAGTTGTGGCTGCTACAGCGGCATCTACTAAAGGTAAAGGTCCAGCCAAAAAGGCCACTGATGGGGGCAAGAAGCCTCCAGCCCAGAAGAATACTTCCCAGAAAGCCATTGGCCAGAAAGCAGCACAGCTTCCAAAAGCTCAG